ATAAGTTTTTTTTTCTCTGCGTGTACAGTGTCAATTGCTCATCTTACCTTATTTGTCCGTTTCTACTTAACTTTGCATCAAACGTATTGGCAGATATCATGCATGCATTGTCGTACACACACCTGCGGCGTGTAACCCTTGTACATTAGGAACATTATTATTTGTACGACTTTTAAATACATACCATGTTTTTTTTTTTCATGACCAAAGCAATGTGCGTGGTACTTAAAAAAAAATTATTTTTTCATTCCGATTAATGAAAACGAGGGTCAACATGCATAAATGAAATAACTTGTCAATTCTTACATACACATAACTTGATCGACCTTGTATGCAATAAAAAATACAAGGTACTATACTCGAGGACCACCCTCCCGTTAAATTCGAAATTGAAGAACTAGTGGTTCACACTTTTTTCTCTGACAAAAAAATACATAGCTCTCCCTTGGTTTAACATTGCACAACAATATCCACGGTGCAGCATAATTTTGAAACGCCCCCAAATGCTAGTCGGACGATGCAATATTCACACGTCGGATACCAAAAAGGGAGGATGACGAGGAGGTAAAAGGCTGAAGGATTTGCTTGCATACTGGATGGAAATCATTAAGAGAAGAACGCGGGGGTAGGGGATAGAACTGCATCTTGGATGATACTATTACGATACAGACAGCGAGGAGATGGCTGCAGAAGCAGCTCAGTATAAGCATCAGATCCTCCAAGACTTGGACGGGTGAGGGGATGGGGGTAGAGCCGGCTTATTCGTAGCTACCTACACACACACTCAGGCAAGGGGGATGAAGGGACCAAGCAACCAGGCGTACCATACAGTGTATATATAGGGCTCGGGACGTGAAGCGAGCCATACTATTTCCCTACATACCTACCCTGCCCCTCCTTGTGCCCCAAGGCTCCACGGCATGCCTCTCTCTCTCTCTCTCTGCCATTATGTCGAGCTGAAAGCCCTCGGGAAACTGTCCATCGGGAGGAGGAGGAGGGCCGCGATCGAGCGTGAAATGTAGTCCTATGCCTAACGTATCACCCCGAGAGCGTGTGCGTACTTCGAGTCCCAAAAAAAGCCCTTTTTTCCAAAGGGGCCACTGGATTTTTATTAGCTCCAGCGCGGAGTATGTATAGGTAAGCGGACAACCAAGCAGAAGCCCCTTCAATTTGCGGGCGAACCTTTCCAATCCGCATCGGGATAATTGAAATTCTTTTAATTAGATGACTCGGGCGTGGGAATGCGACGTACGTCCTTTCCTCCCTTTTTTTTTTTTTTTTATTATTTCCAGTGTTCGGCCAACACGTGGCTGCAGAGCCGCCAGGCGCGAAAGTCGGCGCGTTCCAATTTAAAAGTTCCATTCTTGTGTGTATGTGTGTGCACGTGTTGTGCTGCCACTGTTGGACAACTTCTCTGTATACGTATACCCCTATCTCTGGGTTGGCTCGCACGGATTAAGTGGAAATTAAAAAGTTTCGAAATTAAAAGACGGCTCGGGGCGAAGCGCGACTCTGCTGATGAGAGGCTGCGGGGTGTGGTGCAAGCACGCCCGTTGGAAGAGGGGGAATATTATTATTTCCGATGATATGGGCTCGAGAAATTGACTCGTCGAGCTTCCCTCCCCCCCAGATTTTTCGAGCTCGACTGCAGGGTGTAATGAGCTTTTTCGGCTTCCTGGACTAAGTGGTCACGGAGCCTCGGGGCGTTTTTACTCGATGTTTTTTGTTTTCTTTCACTTGATTTTCAAGCCTGTTGGAATCATGAAAATGGCCCTTTTTTTTTTAGACAGGTTTTTAGGCAAGAACGTGTTTTGGAAAAATCAAATTAATTATTATAATGTGCGGAAAGAAAAAAACCTATTTTGGGGGTGCTTGGAACAAATTTACCGATTTTCAACATCCGACAGGCCAAGTTGAAATCGATGACATTAAATTTTAATGATCGAAATACAGGTCACTGCGTAAAAAAAAAAAAAAAAAAAAAAGCATCACTAGTTTACCAATCAATTAAGTAAATGAATAAACGAGCACACATCGCGGTCGAGTATATATAGCAGTGGACGCGCGACGAAAACACAAATAAAAAATTTACCGCCAACGACCTTGACGAATTATTCATTTTCCCGATCTCTCCCCGAGATACCGCGGCCCATCCGTATATATACACCCACTTATCGGCAATTGTGGCATCACCTAGTTATCCGTCAAACCTAACGCACAAAAAGGGCTAATTGGACAGCGACCAAAAGAAAAATCCCATGCATCAAATTGCCGTAAATATTGTACTAAAAGACCACCAATGGCCCACTTTGAATAATAAACGAGGGAAAAAAAAAACCAATACACAGGTATACACCTATGTACGTGCATAAACATCTGCGCCCGGGCATGGCGCGGCGTCTATGAATAATACATAGTTAAAAGTTTCAACGCGCCTCGGTGAACATGAAACTCGCGCGCGTGCCTTTAAAGCCAACCTCTCGGCTTTTCTCCTGTACACATATATACATGTACCCACTCCTTATTAAATTGCTCCAGAGGTATAAACCCGCAAAAGTGGCGCGGGCAAGGGAAGTTGCGTGTCTCGCGCATTTGGAAAACAAACACATCTGAGGTGGAAAAACTGACCCCATCCCCCACCGTCCCCCTTTGCTCCTCTTGAGAGAAATTCATTAAAACTTGACTGGCCTAGAGCGTGGTAGAAACTTTCAGGGGGGGGGGGCAAATCGGAAAATTCGTCGCGTTTTGTTTTCTCAAGCTGTTATGACACGTTTGTTCAATCGAGGACAAACAGAACCGATGACGGCTCTGGGAAACCCGATCACCCGGGTGTTGTGAGCTAGATTCACCCACACACCCCGCGATCTCGCGGTCATAATGAGGAGCCACGCGAACAAACAAACATCAAACTTTGCCTTTCGCGGATTATACATACGCGTGCAGAGAGATGGGGAGGCAGGGAGGGACAGTTTCAACGGCGTTAAAGCTCCGGGCGAGGAGCGAAGCACTGGAATTCATGTATTATATACACGTGTGTATAGGTATATGATGCAAGTGTCAAAGAACCTCCTCCTCCTCCTCCTCCTTGAAGTTTATACACGAATGAGTTGGGCACCGTACGAGTGTTTGAATAAAGTAAGCGAGTGATTATCCGCGGGTGGCCGAGAGAGAGGGACTTGGCGACTCACCAGAACCAACCTCTTGGAAAATACTGTTACTACCCAACGACTGTCTGCGCAAAAGTCACGACGTATGGGTATTTATGGGAGGAGAGAAGTATATATATACGCATAATTTACATGCCTCCTCCATTTGGATCGATTTGATGATTTGCCGAAAAAACAAGCAGATCTGGCGTATGGATGATAAAAAAAAAAAAGTGCTCTTCCACCAGCTTCACCCAAAATGCACCAAACGAATTACTTTGGTATCCACCAGCCTCGTCATCGTATATGATCCTCCTCCCCCCTCCTCCCCACCACCCAATAAACAATAACGCTGTACCCACTCGTTGGATGTATCCGAAATATCCCGGCCATCGTCAGAAGAACCAGCCTTATGTGACCGGGACACGCGAGCTTGCACTTAAATACACTTTGCATGTCATGTATACATATATATATATATATATATATATACACACACACACACCGTAGACAAGCCCCACATTGTATATAGGCTCGTCGGGGATGATGAATCTTATTGAGGATTTGCGTTTATAGCCATACATTCTGCAAATGTATATATACACCGAGAATCCGAACCGTGCACGCATCCTCCCAGTTCGGTGTACAACGGAGTATCCCTAATTCGTGCTTGCAACGAATGTTTTGCTCGAACAATGGGGTAACGGTCTCGCGTGCTTTTGCACAAATATGAGGAAGAATGAACTAAACATTTTAAAAAAAAAGGGGGGGGTAAGTACAGATGAATCGCGCTGCGTTACAACTTGACTGGAGGAAAAGCGTTTGGATGTAATGTACGTATACATGCAACGTTCGTTACGTGGGAATTTCAATGGCGCAGCAAGCATTTTCCGCGCTAATTAACCCCTGCGAGCTTCGTAAATGCTTTTTTTTTTTTTTTTTTTACCTCGGTGAAAGAAATCAGAGAGGGGGAGAGAAAAAGTTTTTTCACCAATGCTTTTTCTTTTCTCCGGAGCTGATGACGGATTGCGCGTGCTTGCGAGCTTTATGCGCAAAAAAAAAAAGATAAGAGAAAAGTGGACAAACAAACGCAACTCCCTCGTTACCGTAATATACTCTCTGTGGGTGTGAGTGCGCGCGCCTACGCAAAAGCTCCGAAAAGAGCGTACATGGTATAGCCGTGGCGCGTCTTCGGCGCCGTACGTACATACGGCGTCCTACATGTCGACACGCGGTGGATGAAGTCCAGAGGCTCTCGGGAATGATTCACGAGCGACGGAAATAGAAGCGCTCTTGGCACTTCCCGTTCGCTCGTCTTCCAGAGGGGGTCGCGGGCCACTCGAAAGCTCGCTCGTACGGCTAATAGCCCCAAAGTCGATGCTCCTCGAGAAAGCTGACTCGCGCCTACACACGTGCTGATACACGCAATTTTTCTCTTAGCTCTGACCCGGGTATTGCGGAAACTACACTTTTTTTTTTTTGGCTCTTTTCGTTTTTTTGTTTTTTACACCCATCGGAGTCACGATTTGGCTAAAAGCTCGTAAAAGCAGGGACGGCCGACTGATAAGGGGTCGCGTGTGTGGTGACGGACAATATTTGCCTTTCGGCCCGTTTGGCAAACAATTATACGAGGTCGAGAGTAAACACGAGCTTATATACCAGCTTGGGGGATGGGGATGAGGGGGTCCTTTGTTTTTTATCGCTGCGGACGCGATGACGCCGAAGCTCTTTGCGTTGTTTTCAGTTATGAAGCTTTTGTTGGATTGAATCGACACAGGAGATGATAACACACACACACACACAATAGTTCCATAAGTATATGTACAAAAAATGTGTTATTCTTTCTGTTTCAAGATATAGACAAGTTCTCCTCGTTCACCGAGGACCTGGAGCTCGCCCGCTTCTAGCGCATCTAGCGGCACTGTCAAGGTAAATTCGCGCACAATCCATTTCACCCGGCAAAAAAGGGTGCACCGGAGAAATACAGAGCGATTCGCAATCGAACCATATCTGCCGTTCATCGTGGGGGGGGGGGAGGTATTGTTTGCACCACTTGGATGGGTCATGTTTTACGAATGGGCTTCACGCACCGAGCCGCAGCCGAGAAGAAAAGGATACACGCGCGACCCCGTTTCCGCGAAATAATGGAAGATCGATTGCGCCCCAGATGCGCGTGTACGGCCAATCGTTGGATAATTAAAACCCAACGCTTTTGATACCTCGATCATTGCGTTCGCATCGTTAAAAACAAAAAAAATCGGTAACGAGTTTGTTTGGTGAAAAATTAGCCGTCCGACGGGCAAATTGTTTCGATTCGAAAGTCGAATTTAATTCAGAGGCATGTGCGTTTATCTGATATACAGGTCGAGTAACGTTTCCCAAATATCAATTGATAAAACAATTTCCATGTTCGAGCGTCGACCCGCTGAATTCGTGTGATTTAAAATATTAACGAACGTACCACGCCAACACCGCCGTTCGAACGCGATTGTCGTTGTCGAGTAACCCCCCACTCCTGCCTCGCTGAAAAATTCAACGCCTCCCTTATTCGAGCCCACGCCGCTAATTAAATTCAAATGGGAGTTGTCGACGTTCAACGTGAACAAGAAACAAAAAATACAGCGGTTTCTTGAATACTTTACACAAACCTTGAAACATTCACAAGTTGGGCCCCCGAAAAAGCGCCATTTGTCGAGGGGGTGGGGGTTCCCTTGAACCTGGACTTGGTCACACGAGAAGGAAAAAACACGCTCTCGAGTCGACGAGAGAAGAGTAAATGTCCTTATCTCCCGAGCTGACGCCGTTCCTTGCACGGCAGCAAAAAAGAGGCCCGCGCGATAAATCCCAGTGGCGCCCCCCCCCCCCCCACGGGTGCGAATCGCTCTGGCTCCCATCAAGGAAGGGAAAGGGGGTGGATGGAGTTATTATCCTAACGCGCTTGTGTGTTTTTGCTTGCAGCTTGCACACCGGGACATACATCGTGTTTTGTTTTATTGTAGCCTAAGCCCTCCCCCAGCCCCCCTGGACGTTATCTCTCGTCGTTTCTACCCCAACCTCTCCTCCTCTCCTCGGATATCTGATGGCCTATCCCATCGGCCGCCCGTCTCCTCCTCTGCGAAGCATCGCCCTTTTTCCTTTTCCTCCTCGGACTCTCATGGACTATACTTCGACGAAACAGACGCGCTGCTTCATTTCTACCGTACCGAAGAAAGGGACGACGTCGTTGGATGAAACAGCTGCCTCGACGGCCACCTGTATCTACACATTCTTCTTCTTCTGCGCTCTGGATGCTGCTGCAGCCTCTTTTTGTCGGTAGTGCGGTGGAGGCGGATAACAACACCGAGCTTTTTCGGAAAAAGGTGAGAAATGAGTTTTGTACTGTTTTTTTTTTTTTTTTTTTTATTTACTGTTGTCTGTTTCCTCTCTGCTTAGCTGTGTGCGTGTCTTTTTGCCCCAAGGGTGAAGGATGCAAGTGCCAGAGTGATGCTGCACTTGATCCGACGAGTTATGACAGCGATATTGTTTTTTATATCCGCGTTGGGAGGATTGTTAATAATTTGATTACAACTTGCCGTGTCTAATCCGATGTGATGAACAGTATAGTACATTATAATACAATATAAGTTGTAATAGGGTGCAGTAAATTTGTTGTTTTCGTGCATTATTGACAACGGGAGGTGAAGCTGCGACGAATCGCGTTAAATTCAACGACTCTCGTGTACCCGGACACTATATTCGATTTCAATTAATCAAATCGAACACTACAAATCCTACCGGTTTATCTCGGGGCTTTCATTACAATTCGAATTTATAAAGCTTTTCCTTTACGTGATCAAAATGACGATGCATGGGAATCCTGACACGTGTTTTTTTTTTATTCTGCAAGAATTGTATTCTCTCTTTTTGTAACAATGAACAGCTCATTAAAAAGAGTCGCAAAAATGACGAGTACAGATAAAAAAAGCTCCATATTCACGGAAGAAAGCTTTTACTGACTTTTGCGAGCTTTGAAACGGAAAGCTGCCCCGAGCATTATTACACAGCCAGTAGATCCGGACACTTCCGAATATACAGTGTACCGGCGCATCCGCGCACATATACATACAGCCCGTTTGTTTCGAATAAATCGCGTCCGATGGAAATTTCGTTATCTCCGCGCGACTGGATGGCTGTCCGTTGTCGACCGGCTAAGCGCTCGCGTATTTGTTTTTTTTTTTTTTTTTTCCCCTCAACTACGGGACGACATTTTAATCGCGTGCGCCGGGCTTGTTTTGATTAACTTATCGGGCTCTATCTCTCTGTTTTTAAAAGCCATGCCTGTCGGTGTCTATCTTCATTTGTCCGGAATTTTTCTCCCTGCATTCACGATCATCGAACGAATTTCGCGAAAACGCGGGGGGCGCCCGTCACTCGATCGTAAACAAAGCTTTTCGTCGCTACGGCGAAGTGACGGGGAGCCTGGAATATTTCAATAAGACAAAAAACAATTTCTCGGGCTGTATGTATATTTTTTTTGCGCTGCTTCTATTCCTTTGTCTCGAAAGTGCAGTGAAGCTGTCAATTAAGGACTCGCGAGGGGGTACACACCTGTACGCACGTGGGTACATCATCTGTCTCGGCAATTTCGACCACTTTACGTTCTCGTCTACTATTCGTTTTCTTCCTTTGTCTCGTGAGAGGCGCGCAGCATAGGACCCAAGGAAGTATGAGACGTAGACGCGAATATTACAAAGAATCATCTGCCAGTCACGGCTCAAGTGTAAATATATACGCGCACTTGCACTACGACGGAATTCAATGGGGGGGGGGGGAAACTAAAGGATGGACATTATATTTTTACGATGCTCTCGATCCACCCTTGCAGCTAATTAAAACAACGCAACGGTGTTGCCATAACAATTGAAGCGTAGAGATCAAAAGTACCCTTTGCACTGCGAGTAATAAAAGCACTACAGTGTTTTGTAGCCCCCCGTTTGAGTTGACTCTTTAATCTTCCGAGGAAACTCGATCGCGAATGTTCTCTGCATTTTTTTTTTTCGCTCGAAATCCTAGCTCGTTCGAGAGTTGCCGAGTACAGGATTCAAGGACCTCTCCAGTTGCTCTTTATTCTCCCTCAAGCTCGCACGCGCACGCGAAAGACCAAAAGCTGTCAATGTATAATCCTCGGGGGTGTGTATAAGCATATCAGATAGGAATACGAAAAAACCAAAGAAAAGAAAAGGGACCGATCCATACAAAGAATGCGGTCCCGCGGGAGCTCGTTAGCGATGTAATTGCTCCCGAAGTATATACATAGGGATAAGGGGTGTATATACATGGGGAGTCCCGCGAGCACAGTTGCCCTCCCTCCCTCGTCCTATTTGTACTTACGTGTTGGGGAGAAACGTGTATATATGTACGCCTACATACATAATATACGTTCGCCTGGAGGGATTTGTCGAAGAAGAGGGCGAGAGGGAAGCAAAGTTGCGGGGAAAACTTGGTAGCTGCATCACCGGTGGCCGGTTCGAGCTGTACAAGCTATAGGGTAACGATTTTGGTTCCGGGTCCTAACTTGCTCCTAACTTAACCTACTCCCTCCTTCGAGTTATTATTGTCATTGTTAACAAAAGGGTTGCACCGGAAAGGGTAACGGCTGGTCGAGCCATTATTGCAACTTTGGACACGGTGGTGGTGATGATGATGATGATGATGATGATACGCTGCACGTGTGTCCTTCCTCTTTTCCAGCGAGGAAGGGGGAGTACAAAAGCTATATATATATAACACATGCTCTATCTGTAACGTTACGGAAATTGGGCTCGTACTTACCTGGTAACGGCTGCGATTATTAGGTGCGTATAAGTACTTACTCGTTTGCATACCGGGGAAAACGATTATTCCTCGGGTTTCTCTTGTTTTCGGGTGAGCCTTTGTGGGTCAGTAGTCCTCAATTTGCTCCCATACCGAAAGTAATTTCAGCAAGATATTTTTTTCTTCATCCCTCAATATTTCTAAAAAATATTATTTAACTACATCAGGATTATTTGTAAGGGTTTTTGATGGTAAAAATCGGTCAATTAAGGGAATTCGTGTCTCCCCTCGCTTCCCTCTCTTCTTACCGGTCAAGTTAATTGAAGCTCGGGATACCGATACTGGGTACATACGTATAAACATGCAATTTTGAAATTTAAATACAGAGGGAGAGAAGGGCAAGTTGTAAAACGACATTGGACGTCTCGCAGTCGACATGTGCAAAATAGAGAAATGAACGAGGAGGCGACGCGAGTACGTATTTCATCCAGCCAATATGGCCCTTTTAAAATGAAACGGGATTAATTCAAGGAGAAACAGGTGACAAGTGGAGTCGGGAAGTTTCATCGACATCGACTTTGTGACGAGCGGTTCTCTTGTTTATTTTAATATTTCCCGAGTCGCCAATACCTCTATTCCGTGTCATTTATCCTACGAGATCCCACTTCGTTTCCCAAGTTGGAGAGCACATACGCTACTTGATTTCTCGCAATTAGTAGACCAGTTTATAAACTTTCGAGAAAAAATAAGAAAAAGAATTGTAATTTCAATGAAATCCACAACTTACCCACGTTACGTCCATTTGTAACAAGTTACCATTTTTTTAAATCACAAAAAACCATTCAGTAACAGTAAAAATTACAATGCTGGAACAGTAGACCTTAAAAGGATCGGTTAATAAATTTTACTTTTCCGCATAGAAATCTTTACTGTTCTAACCATAATTTTTACTTTTTACTTTTCAAACCAGCAACTTCAGCAAACAAAATTTGTTAATTCTCGCAACGTCTTAACACCCGTACATATAACAAATACATCCAACGAGAAATACTAACCCTTCCACACATTCGCATTAATATATCTCCCCTCGGGAGCCCCCCGGCCGCAGTGACGATTGAGATATCATCCTAATATTTCGCAGGCCTTCTGCCTCCCCCAACCAGAAGAAGCTGGCAGCGCATTACACCTATACCCCAGTCGTGGATACATACATATAGGAGAGCTTGCGAAAGCTCATCCAAGCGCGACCCGTTAATCCGAAGCCCCTTCGCGTGTATATATGTATACACCCCGTTTCACGAACCCTCTCGCTCTTTCGGCAGCCCCCGAGGGACAAACTTTTCCGAAAAGTCAGGGAGCCCGGAATTCCGGAAGCCCACCCCCTCCCCCCCTCCCCGACTCGTGGCCCCTAATCCAAAGCTTTCCGCGCTGGTGCAACAGCCGCTACACCTATTAGCCGGCCAGCGGGGGCTGCTAAATCTCTGTCTGCCTACTTATATACGCGCCCCTTCCCGCCCACCCTCCCATTGCATGTTGTACGCGTACGCGTGTACATACACACACACATGCCACTGCAGGACTCGCTCCAATTGCACGTGCGCAAGTGTATACATATACGTGTGGCTGGGCGCAAACGTTGAGCGCTTGGCACAGGTGCGTATATGTGTACTATGCCAGCCGGAAGGAGGAGAAGATAGCCGTCCGAGCGCGGTATATTTCATTTCTGGCACGCTCGAGGATTGCATAATGGCCGCGTTTCCTGCTGACCTCCTCCTCATCTGCGTTATATATACGCGCTTTTGGTTTCGTGCGATTTTTATGATATGTATATTATATATGTACGCCCTTTCGCGTCTCTCTGCCCGTGAGATAATCCCTTAATAGGATGGGTATTCGGAAGCTCGATGAACAAAAGAGTGCACAACCCCACGGGTTCCCCAATTTTTCTCGGATTTTTTAATTAAACTTATACGTATAGGTACAAGTTTATAAGAAAAACTCGAGTCTTTGTCGGATATCGCGTCGATTCCCCACCTATACGTATAATAATATATGTAGTACACGGTTAGCTGATACCTGATTTTACCTCCGGGTTTTTACATTGTGAACTTATATGGGGTTTTATCCCGTGATATGGCTGGTTGCGAAAGTTGGTCGGTTCGGTCAACTTGCCGGGGTGTGCATCAACGAATGCTTCCCCCCGATGGGAATATAGAAGGAGAAGCCCCAAGGAGCGCAAGTTTTGCCTTCGATTTGGCTTATCCGATGCTCCCCGAGACTTTATTAGGGATGTGATTTTTCGCTCGCCTGCGGGGGTCTTTTCGGAGAGGGGGGTTGGATCTTGGCGGTCGCCAAGTTTTATCGGTGTACTTTTTGCAGAAAGTTTGCTTCGGTTGTTGAAAACGATTTTTTTTTTTTTTTTTTTTTTTTTTACATTGGTTTTGACACGCTGCTTCGTCAAAACAACGAAACAACTTCAAGGCGCCGATGAGAACATTTCTCCGTATTCGTCGGGCAAAGGAAATTTTTTTTTTTTAACTTCTAGATCCAAGAGTAAGAACGAGTAAAATACCATGCATGTACACCCGGAAAATAGGCAATACGTACCCCTGTTTGTAAGGAAAAGCAGATTATTCATAACCACGGACTCGTTGCTACTAACTACTACTTTTCCAGCAACGGAGTGTAGGGTATTGTATATGAGTGCGACGAAACGTGTTCAATTTCGCAAGCTCTTGTGTGTATAAGATTCGAAAAAGCTCTTATTCCCGCAAAATTGGTACCTACTCCGACGAGACCAACGTGGCACTAGTAGCGAACAACGAGCTTTTTTTACCCCGTAAACGTCAATCCCCGATGCACGGCGTCAACCAAAAATAACGCAACGAACGGATCAAGCTATATATACCGTAACGTAATTTTACCACCCAACAGCCCCGAGACAGTTTAGCGGGTGTAACGTCTCAACTCCGGTAAGGGGTTTAGCGCCGAAAGCTCCGCGGTTCCCTGCACTCGCACGGGAGAGATGTATGCACGTGAGCTTCTCCTCGTGCTCATTTGAACTTTAAAAATCTTGGGAAAAAAAATATCAAGCGCGCGTGGAATAAACAAATGGGGCCGGCGAGAGCCACGTGCGCCAACTGCAAAAAGCTCCCTTTGTGCTTCGATGTTGCGCGTGCGGTTAAACGGAAAAACCGAGTGTATACGTATACGCTCTGGAAATCGATGGGGTAAAGCGCCCGGGGATTCATCGAGGCATTGTTAATGCGTGGAAAACACGTTCGCGTAAGAAAATGAAAGAGAGCAATCTATATACGTGCACACATGTACATATAAATATACGTGGATAAGCCATTGGGTCGATTTTTTTTTTTTTTGTTTTTTTATGCGTGTACGTTTGCTATTATTGTGTGTGAGCCAATCTACGGGGGGGTAAAAGTGATCCTTAGTTACTTGCTCCGGAAATTGTAGGAACGCCATTCGGTTTTGGCTCGTTGATCACGTGCTTTTTTAATCGACAAAAAAAAAATGACATAAACGTCACCAACAGAGTGTACTATACGCACGACCATTTCAATATTTTCCTCGCATTTAAAACCCACGCGTTTTTTCTCCTACGTGCGCCCTACGTTACAATAAAAGCTCGCTCGCCGCGAAAGCAACGAGCCCGATTGTCTAAAAAAAAAAAAATAAAATAAATAAAAAAAAAAAAATAAAGAAATCCACGGCCTTTCTATTACCCCGACACGCGAGAAAATCGTCGAAAGCTCCTCAGTTGGTTATTCGTCGCAATGACAGTATACCTCCAACAATATTTCAGGTTTTTATACTACAACGAGAGCACGAAGCGTCATTTCCATCTGCGCATCGTAGGTATAATATATAAGATAGGCACAAGCTGCACACGCTACATGATATAATAACGTATACGCTACGTGCGCGCTTCTTTCCCGCAGAACCGAGCGCTCGTTAACTAAAACCGCTCGCGGATGCTTTTATATATACCTACACGTATACATTCTCAATGGACGCCCATTAGCTCACTTCGTGCAAGCTTCTCTCTGACCCCCTCCGATGCTTCCGGTGTGGTACACGTCTACTGTGTATTATATGATATATACAGGGGTGTGTTCGTACTGTGCCACCCGCTGCGACGGTATATACGGGTATTATATATAAGACGAACAAAGGCCTCGGCGGTCGAATGAAAGGAACCGGGGGAGCGCGCAATATTGCGGGTAGGTATGGATAACGCGGCTACGCGGGATATAGGAAACGTGGCCCGTGCAGTGCGAGAAACCTGAGGGGGGGGAGTTGAAGTGCTAAAAGGGGGAGGAAGAACTGTGGAGTGAGGGTTATTGGTGGGGGAGCGGAAAACAGATTGTTAGCGGTGTGCATGTGCTGCAGGTGTGGAGTGGGCTGGTGGTGGTCGAATAACAGGGTGGAGCTTTATGTGTGTACAAATGAAGAAGAGCCCACCGGCAGGGTATACGTATATAGAGGAGTGTGGCCCCCTACCCCGTGAGATATATATTCTATTACCTCTCTCGGGAGTAAACTACGCCGTGGCACGCCAAACGTGTGCTTAACGAGGAAAAAATAAGAGGAATGATGGGGAAAGGAAAAAAAAAGGCGCCCTGAGGATGCACGGAAACGGATGTATATACACACCCGCTCATCGTTTTCTCGTTTTGTGGTTATTGTTGTTGCGTGATTCGATTATCGATTCGGTGACGTTTTGTGGTCAACGAATGGGTATTGGTCCTTTTTTTTTCAATTATTTTTTTGCGTTTTGCAAGTGGTGCTTTCTTTTCTTTTTTTTTTTATTGGCAGAGCTTGCAACCTACGACTCTTGGTACGAGATTTCGTTTTCAAGGAGTGGTTTAAAAAAATTTTAACAACATTTTTTTTGGAAACATCAAAAGCTCATTTTGGATTTTTTTTTTTTTTTTATGAAAGCTCGTCAACAGTTTAAAAAGCATTCCTGATTATAATTTTTCTTTTATGAATAAGAAATAAAAGTAAAGATATTGGCTGGAGCCACAAGTGGTTTTGTGAGCTTTGATTTACATCAAGTCTTTTCTTTTGAAAAAAAAATTGCGTGTCTTTTTAAGTAAGCTAGCCATTTTTCAAATGCCACCATCAAAAAATCGATAGGTCGCGTGACACATTCTGCACAATAGAGCCGCGCAATAGAAAAAGCCGATGAGGATTATCCCATTACAAGGACAGAGCTTTCTCTGTATACAGAAAAGGCCAATCAGCAACCCATAGAAGCGAGAGAGAAAAAAGTGCCCCAATGGATTACTTGTACAATATTTCTTTTTTTTTTTTTTTTTAACAGAGCTAATATTTTTATTGAAGAACCGTGTGTGCATAAGTCAGTCTAATTTTTTCTATTGCTCGTGGTATTCATTACTTTCCGACAGGCTTTAAATTAATCGTTGTAAGCTGAGTTGTCCATCCGAAAGCTCAAATTAGTCTCCACGATTTTCAAATAATAATAAAAAATTTACATTTTATGAATATATTTATTAAATATCAAGTAACTTTCGTACTACCTCATATTTTTGCGTGCATTATCGGGAACATAGTCTATTATTCAATAAAGTCGTACAATTTCAAGCTTAAAAGCTTTTCTGGTACATTAGTGACCTTTGCACTGTACCTACCAACTGTAATTTTCATCCTCAACATTAACAATTAAATTATACATGAATGTCTCTTTGAAAACTAACTCGTTCACAATCTTGAGGACCGAAAAA